ACAGAGGAGTTAGATTCCACAATGCCTTTGGGATCTACGTAGCAAGCCACAAGCACTACACACACCAAAAAGAAAAACACAAAATCCAGCTCTTCTACCCCAGATGGCTGAGAATTTTAAAGCCTCTCCACACATCTCACTACTTCTGGAAAACTTGGTTTGTGGATTGCATAAACCAAAGAACATTTAAGAGATCAAAACTGATTTTTTTTTAATTATTTTTTGCATTTAAATGTTACGAAAAGAAAAGAGAACACTGCAGGGTAGGAAAATCAACAAATCTGCACATTAGTTTGAAATGCCTGCAACCACACCTGGCCACGATCACTCTTATCCCAGCTGAGAAGCCCAAGGGGAAAACGCGCATGCCTGCCTTGCACACAGGCATCAGGTGCACGAGGCACTGAGCCCCGCGGGGAGGAACCCCAGGCAGCCACCAGCACCTCAGGGAGCTCCAGCTGGAGACATCAGCATCCACCTACGGCCCTTTTCTCTGTAATTTCTGCTCCCCATACAGGCTGTATTTTCCCCAGGACCATACAGGCCTGCAGTGGGCACCTGATATTTAGGTACTTCTGTGCCTCAGCAAGGCAGGCTGGAACCCAGAGCCCTGCAGAGCAAAGCAAGCAAGCAGCTCTGCGCTCCTCCTGTGGAGCTGAGCTAACAAGAAGCACACCCAGCTGCCTTCACCAGCACCATTTAATTAAGCCTTCAGCCAAACAACTAGGGAAAAAGCACATGAGTTGATTAATATATCATGATCCAGTATATACAGAACCTTTGGCAGGAGGTTATATAAATGATATATGAAAGGCAAAGCGAGAGAGTCCTCATTTAGGATTACTTCAAAAATACCTCAGGCCTTAAACAATCTGTATTAATCGCTTGAACCCAAAGCATTTCATGCCTACACTTGCAAAGACTTTATTTACAACTAGAACTTCAGATGCACACAGTATCAGTGCTTAATCATCTCAAGCATAGTAACTGAAATAGATAGCAATGTCACTTTTGTACTTGGTACCTCTGAAGCCTATTAAAAATAAAATAGGTTTTCACTAAGCTCGCAGCCTTCCCCTAAGATGGTTACAAGCACCAGCTGTTAATTATAGATTAAACATTTCCACAAGACTTTGAAATCATACTTGGAACTAACCCCAGTAAGCTGAGCTCTGAGCTCAGTGGAGCTGGAAATCCAAAGATCACACAGCTTCATGCCCTCTGCAGTTGTTTGCATATATTTGGTACAACACGAAGGACCTCTTGCAAAAAGACTCTCAGCACACAGCACCCTAGCATTTGTTTCATGACTACTTGTGGTACAGATGCTCACAAGTTAAGCACAATTCTCCCATCCACTTGAAAGATTCTTTTGTCTTTTGTAGCAATTAATGTTAATATTAATAAGGAAGTGCTCCTCGATTGTTGCTTCAGCTCCTAAAGTGCATCAAGAGCATTTTGTTAACAACTTCATTTGAGCCAGCATTAAGAGTTTACATCTTTAAAACACAAAAGAAACAAAACTCCTACAAGCTAAGAGATTGCATAACCATAAAAACAAACGTTATTGAAGACTTCATGACTCCTCTCTACAGCTTCCACAGAACATTGCTGTATTTTTATAATTCAGAACAGAACAGCTACTTAAAGCACATCCAGGAGAAAAAGCACCCAGATAAGAGAAGGAACCAAGCAATGTTCATCCTACCTGGTTGAAGAGAAGGTTTACAGCCACGGTGGTTAATGCCCTCCAATGGACATCACGTGCTGCAATGACTCCAGCAACTACCAGCAAGAACCAGGAATAGGAGCAGCTGCTAAGCTGTGTGGTCTTTATTACTTCTGCTGACCAACACACCTGGGAGTGACCCCAGCCTCATCACAGAGAACACGCTGCAGCTGGGACCCAAGTCACGTACAGAGGACAGCTGAGCAACTTGGGGAGCACGCATCTCTCAAGCATGAAGCATCTTTGTGCTTTTTGTTTCATTTCACTAAGCCTTAGGCAGGTTTGTTTTGCACACTGTAAGCACAGAAACCATCCCCTTAAACTCAAAATTTGAACAGACATGCATGAAAACCCAGAACCCAGAGGCAGGATTTATTCTGGCCACTCCCTCCCAGCCCCCTGCAGAGCAGAAGCAGCCCCTCAGGCCTTCCTTTCCTTGCTCCACTCTTCTACTGAGCCCCCACCTACAGCAGCCCATTCTGACAGATCTTGGAAAGCTGTACCTATCTGTAACCCAAGAATTTAACTTGAGTTAAAAAAGAACATTCATAGATAATACGAGAGGTCTTCATCATTCTCAGTACTGTGCTACCTATGTGCATATGTCCATCGTTGAGGACTCTTTTGCTCAGCATGTAGCAGAATAGCTGGTACAGCACTGAATGTGCAGGGACTCAGGTAAGGAATGACAGAAAGGAGTTCAGCACGCTCTGAAAACTCACCCAACACAGTGATTCAATTTAGTCTGGAGTAACTGAGTACTGTCTTTGTCATTCAGCACACTGGATGAGAGCGTAGAAAAGAGAAATAGAAGTGAATGAAGGCATGGGAAAAACTGTATGGAGAAAAAGGTTCAGTCTAGCTTACTTTGCATGACTTACAATGACAAAGCAGAAGTGACAAAAGTGGAGTAGGCAGCAAATGCTTTGGAGAAATCAGATCTCTGCTGCACGTCTCACAAGACATGAAAAAAACTTCAGTTCAGTTGAGTGGGTTGAAAATGCCCTTTTTTTTCCATACCATGTAGCTCTACTGTGTAACCCCTCACTTTAGGAACAAATCATCTAACGCTCTTGTAAAAGGACCAGACAATGACATATGAGAAGCTGAGACAGTGGGTTTGCTCAGTATGAAGACATTGTGCTACTGTCTGCAGCCATCTCATGGGAGCCAGCTCTTGTCAGAGTGCACAGTGGAAGGCCAAGCAGCATCAGTTCTGACGCTACATGAACACCTTTCCCAGGAGGGCAGACAAACAGAAGCAGGAGCCCAGAATGTTTGTGGGACCTCCATCCCTGGGATATTCAAAACTGGACTGGCCAAGGTCCTCATCAATTCACTGAGTGAAAGTCCAGACTGGGTGACTTTTGGAAGGTGTCATCTCCACACTACACAATTCTGTGATTCTACCTAAAACTGCATGCATACATAAGCATTTATACAAAATGAAACATACACACACCCGGTGTCTGTTTCCAAATTGAATAAAAGCAAATGCTTTGAGGGAAGGAAGGGAAAACCAAGGGTAATATATTTTCTTCTGGAGCATCTTGTTCTAAGTAACAGTTAAAGATAGGCTTGGTCAAGTAAATACACACACCGTTCACTGACAGTTTAGGCACTGCTATGGGCTTTTCAGGCTCTACTGCTTCTACACATGATAACAAAAGCAATTAAATGGGGGCTAGCCTTTGCAGTTAGAAGGCGCTGTTAGTGGAGGGGCAGAGATGCAAATTAAAACTTGACATTGGATCTACTTACTGCCTTGTCCCCACATGTATTATGTATCTGTACTCCTTAGACACAAATGCTGAAAGCTTTCTTTACCACCAGCAGTCTCCACCATCTATTCCTTCATGCTTTAACATCACCTTCTATTTGAACTCGTGGGCAGGGACGTTAATCCAGCTGCACTAAACATCAGCAGATCGATAAGTTTCTAATTAGCTTCATTCCTATGTTTAAAACCAGAAAAAGGAAGACTTAGAGCACAGACCTCTTTGTGCAGTAACACACCGTACCAGTGAGCCGGAGGGACAGCCGCGACCTTGACGTTTTAAATGAACTCCACTCATTTCTGTTCTGCTTTCTACCATAACCAGTGGCAGACAACACCAACATCAGTTATGAAGGAGGCTGAGGGGAAAGGGAACAGCGCTCTCTGTTCCCATGTCTTTACCTCATGCTTTGCAGAGCTTCACGTGCGGAGTTGCCCCGATGCCCTCCTGCAGCTCGGCTGGGCCGGTATTTGTATGCCTCTCCAATGAGAAAAAGAGATAAAGACAACTGGAACGTAAGGAAACCTCACTGTGAACTCGTAAAACTGGCTTTAGGAATATCTGTAGTGACCCAGAAGTACTGTTTCATCATTCTAAAAGGCTGCTTGTATTTCCCAGCAAGCTCCTCGCCTTCAGACCGCGCAGTGACAGAAACACAGCAGATCTGCCTCTGCGCAGACATTTTTCTCCAAGCAGGGAAACCTACAGGCAACAGCAGGCTTGAAACTGAACTGTAAAAGCAGGAAGGACTGCAGTTTTCATCTCCGAGGGAATTACGCACAGCACAGCCCTGCTCACAGCTGTGAAGGACCCAGTGTCTCCCAGCCATCCCTCTCGCTGTACTTTCCAGAGGTGAATCCCAAGCCTCTTTACTCGATCTACGTTTCACAAAAAGCATTGAATGCATATGTATCAAGCACGGTATGTTTCAAAATGGGCTAAAAGAGGGAATATGGGAGCGATCAGCGTCGGAAGGGCCGCGCTCGCCGCTTCCTGCAGGGTTTACTCATGGAGGTTTCCCCGAGACGCTCAGAGCATTGGTTCGTGCGCTCGAGCAGCTTTACAGCCCGGGCCACTGCAAAAAGCGACGCCACTTTCTGCCTGGGCGGCCGCTCATCAGCTGATTTTGTTGGACGAGCAGGCGGTCGGTCGTTGAAGCACGGGAATGGTGGCAAGCGCCTCTACAGGCGGCTGCGTGCAATCGCTCGGTCCGCGCGTTGAAAGCTGCGCAGTTGCGGCGCTTGCTGGTTCAGAACTTTGTCTTCCTTCAGCTTCCCGTCACACTCGCTGAGATGCCGCCCTGCGAGGGCGGACGGGGGAGTTCCGATACCACTGGGCTGCCCGAACCGCCGCCCCACGAACCACAAGCAGCGACCCACGCCGCCCGGCTGCGCGCACAGCTCCTCCACCCGCCGCGCCGCCCTGAGGGGAGGTGCCGCTCCCGCCTCCTCCTGGAGGCGGCGCTGCAGCCCGCCCTCGGCGCGCGCCCGCCCCGCTCGCCCAATCAGTGGCCGCGCAGCAAATTCAAACCGTGCGGCGGTTGGGCCGGGTCCGGGCGGGCGCCCCGGGGTCAGCGATGGAGCGCCGCCCGGCAGCGCCGGGACCCTACCGTGCCACCGAGCTGGTGAGGACGGCGGCACCGGGAGGGGGCGGCCGGCTGGGCTCCGGGCCGCCGATGGGCCTCGTGGGCCTCTGTCACGGCTGTGGGGAGGGACGTGCCGCGTTGGCGGCGACGCATTAACCTCATTTTGCTCCTGTGGTTGTTCCTGCCGCTTTGTCTTATTGCCGTTTATTGCTATCAGCTTTCAGCTTTAACCTTCTGTCCCCCGTCGCTTTGTCTCCTGTGCAGTGGAATGAAATCACCAGGTACTTCCGAGCCGGCGTGCCGCTGAGGACGCACAGGCAGCACTTGAGAAAGCACGGCAGCTGTTTCACCGCCTCCGAAGCTGCAGATTGGCTGCACGAAGCGCTGAGGAACAACAGCAACTTCGGGCCTGAAGTGAGCAGGCAGCAGACTGTCCAGCTGCTAAGGAAGTTCCTCAAGAATCACGTAATTGAAGATATTAAAGGAAGGTGGGGGTCAGAAAGCCTCGAAGACAATGGTGCGCTATACAGGTACTGCACTGAGAACCGGCGGAACGGCAGAATGGCCTGGGGTGCAAAGGAGCACAACGCTCATCAGTTCCAACCCCCTGCTGTGTGCAGGTCGCCAACCAGCAGCCCAGGCTGCCCAGAGCCACATCCAGCCTGGCCTTGAATGCCTGCAGGGATGGGGCATCCACAGCCTCCTTGGGAAAGAATTTTATTCCATGTTCAGAATTATTTTAAAAAGCAAAAACAAAAACACCCCACTTCAGGATGAAAGTTGCGTCAAAAGCAATTATTAACAGAATTTTCCTCAACTGTCTTGTTGAGTATATACCCTGCTTACTGAAAGCTGTGCTCGTGCTTCTGTCTGTCCAGTTTTTTCCTTGACGTGGGTGCTCCATGGGAGGGCTTCAGAGGGAACCCAAAGCAAATTTATTTGAGTAGCCCCCTGCTGCAGTGCTGATGGCCATCACTTCTCTGAGTCTGATCTTAGCGCTGTGTAAGCAGCTCAGCCATCTCCAACTTGACTTTGGAATTAAGAATAGGCCAGAGTATACTTTATAAAATGATTATGTTAATCAGTGTTATAAGGGGAAAAGAAAAATTTAATTTAATTTTAATTCAGCAATTTTAATTCCCTGAATCTTCTGAGAAACGTATCAAATCGTGCTGGTAAGGTATGGCTTCAGGTAAACCACTGCTTATATTTTTTTAATGTATTCTAAATGCACTTAATATCTTTCCTATTAATTCCAGGTTTCCTTCAACCTCTCCAGTTAAACCTCTACCAGCTTCATGTCGCCAAAATGAAAACTTAGGAACCTTCCCTAGAGACAGACTTCTTAAGCTGCCACATTTATCAAGGAGAACTCCGAAAAAACACGAATTGCTGAGAGCTCTGGTAGTAGCACGTTTCTCACCTAACCTTAGCTACCACACATTTCCTTTGTCTTTTAAAAACAAACCAAAAAAGCTTCACAGCTGGTAGCAGTCATCCTCTAGGGACACGGTTGTGTCTCATTCCCATGTAAGTGCAGCAGTAAGTTGGTAGGTTCTTCTGGTCAGCAGTACAGAGCGTTCATATAGGTTTGACAGGAAGATGCAGTTCTGTTTGGTAATGAAGTGATGTGATGAAGCTATTCTTGTGTGTACGAAAAGGTTGTGTTAAACAATCAGTAAATATTCAAGTGAAATTCCTGTATGTAAAACATGCAGGAATGTAAGGTATGTGCAGCAGGCACAACTGCAGTGCAGCATTTCTGAAATGCAGGATTGTGCTTCTGGCAGAAGAACTTTAAGTACTCCTCACATGAAGCTGTGTTTTCCTCAATTTAATGGCAACAGGTTTGTTGGCAGGAAAATGTGAGGAGGGTGTTCTTAACGCTGGCATGTAATCCAAGTGCAGAGAAAGATGACTTGCCCTCCACCCCGCAAGTCAAAGTCTTGGAACTGCTTCTGAATGATCTGGCATGAAGTGGAGTTTTAATTGAGTTTACGTTCCAGCACTCGAGCATCTAATCCCATCAATATGGGAAACTTTGCTTTCTTATTGATTCTTCATTTTGGCTTGTTCAGTGCAGAATTATCCCTGCTTGTAATATTTCAAAGCATTGGGAATGCTGGAATGTGGAGCTCTAGAAATGAGCAGCGCAATATGTTCTCGGTGAAACTTTAGATTTGTTCTTTTCATTTAGGACCAATAAAAGGCACAAATTTGCTAACTATTCTGCTGGCTTTTTTAGGAAACTTTGAATGTGCTTGGCCATTTTTTGTTTTTCAGGTTATTTAGTGCACATACTTTGTGGTCCTAAACACAGGCTCTTTGCTGACTAATATACTTAAATTTCATGTGTTTCTATCCTTTAAGTTACTGTCTCCTGAAGGGCTTGCACACAAGGTCTTTATGCACAGTGTTGATTTTGGCTTTCCAAGTGCATATACTTACATTTCAATGCTGACATGATTAAGGTCGTTTGCTGAATCATATTTTGGAATTTAATTCTTCACAAAGCGAGGTGTTTATTTCTCTTAGGGGCTCCCTTTCTTTCAGTATAACATGCAGAAACCACTCACTTTCAGGAAAATGTGGAGAAAACAAAGCTGGATAAAACAGCAGAAAACGAAGAGGAGGCACAGTGCAGGAAGGAAGTAAGCCAGGAATGCGTGCAAGAAACTTGGAGAAATATCATTCTAATACAGTAAGTAAGGAATGCAAAAAGTGCCTTCCCTTCCTGTTGTGTGCATGCTCTTTGTCATGGCCCAGTGAAGGGTTTCACTTACAAACTCTTGAACTTCTAAGGAATAAAGGTGAATATTTACTATTATTTATATATGCTTTCCAATGTATTTTCTAACATCTTCTTTTGTACTTAAGAACCTTATTGTTTGAATTATATTTTAACCCAACAGCTGTTCTTTCTGCTCCCTGTTCATTGTTTTTTGGTGCTTGTCTCAACAACAAGTGTGCCCTCAAACTCTTCTGTATGAGAGATTCTACCAAACTGCAAATCAACTTACCAAACAGCTCTTGTTTGAATAGATGCTAAGATCTTGTTTGGTTTGGTTTGTTTGTTTTTTTATAACAGGCTTCTTAAACAGCATCTGTTTTCTTTCTCTCTACAGTTTGCAAACCATTTTAGGCCTCCCATCCTTGGAAGCAGTTCTGCAGCCAGCACAGATAGTTCCTGAGCACGTCATATACAATATGACACACACAAGCAAACACGGTGTTGTAATTTTGCAGAACAAATCAGGTAAGATTCTCCTAGCTTTGCTTAAAGTTTCTGGGTTATACAGTTACAGCAAGGTAGGAATTGACTATGGTAATATATTTCATAGTGAGGCTTTTACATCTCCTTCTCTAAATTAGAATGCATTTCAGTTTGCTCGTCTAGAAAATGTTGTAGGTGAGTTACATTACTTTGTAAGTAAGTATGCATAGTAATATTTGTAAGTAGACTCACTTTCAAACTAACGTGGTTACAGTATTTAAAGCCTGCATGTTACTGTTTGCATCAGGTCTTCAGTATTTTGTATAACAAATGCACTTATTTATTTTAGAAGACCTCCCTCACTGGGTGCTGTCAGCCATGAAGTGCCTCGCCTACTGTGAGTAATGGCAGAGCTTTTGAGCTCCAGAAACTTATCGTGGGAGTTGAAAGTGAAATATTCCAGCGTGTTAAGATCAATTGTGAATTTCATTTTCAAACTCTGTGGGAAGATCAGCATTATTGTAGTTCAGAGATGAAGGGAAACGTTCAGTGTATGTGACTGTTTGGATGAGGACTGTGTAAAGGGGTGAGTTTTCACTCAGCGCAGTGGGGCAGAACAGCCTGTGGAAAGTGAGCAGAACTCGGTGGATACAGAAAGTATTTGATGCTACTTCTGCTTGCAGATGATGTAGTGCTGAACTAAACAATTCACGTGCATATTGCTGGCATGATTCAGCCTGGAGAAGAGGAGGCTCAGGGGAGACCTCATTGCTCTCTATAACTTCCTGAAGGGAGATTGCAGTGAGCTGGGGGTCGGCCTCTTCTCTCGTGTCATCAGTGATAGGACCAGGGGGAATGGCTTCAAGCTACGGCAGGGGAGATTCAGGCTGGGCATAAGGAAGTATTACTGCTCAGAAAGGGTGGTCAGGCACTGCAATGGATGCCCAGGGAGGTGGTGGAGGCACCGAGCCTGGGGGTGTTCAAGGAAAGACTGGATGTTGTGTTGAGGGACGTGGTTTAGTGGGAGCTATTGGGAATAGGTGAACGGTTGGACTGGATGATCTCTTAGGTCTTTTCCAACCTTGGTGATTCTATGATTCTTCTCTTGTGACACAGTTATTCCTATAGGAACAAGCTTTCACAATTCTATTTACACTGTGTTTTGGTTTTTTTTAATAAATACTGAATTTCCTTTCTTCACCTCTCTTTAGGGCCCAGAAATAATGATATGAGCCAGCCAACTTACAGTGGGTTTGAACGGGATGTCTTCAGAACAGTTGCTGATTATTTTCTCAATCTTCCTGAACCATTGCTTACTTTTGAATACTATGAACTTTTTGTTAAAATTTTGGGTATGTATGAATTTAGAAATAGCAGGGCAAGCTATAAGTTTATATCTAGTGGGGGGAAGAACATATCTGTAACTCAAAGTGAACCGTGAGCCCAGTAGTCTGTATGGCAGCTGGAATCTGGGGCTTGTCTTCAATGCTGTCATTCTGTATTGCATCATTAACAGGAATGCAATTGTATCTCATTCTGTGCAAATCTCCATCTGAGAGAACTTTCTAAATGTTCAGTAACCATTTAAAAACACATGCTCATCTTTGTCCCTCGCTTTTGCAGTCTGTTGGCATTCTTTATTCTTGCATGTTGGTTGCAATTGACTGCTTGGGGATTGAGCTCATTTTTTCCTTATTTTACTAACTACTTAGTGTCTTATTTGTTGTCCTCTGTTCAGTTAGCGACTACATTTCTTTCTGAATGTTTGCTTTCATACCACTTGCATCTTAATTTATATTTCATTTTCTGATAGTTATGTGTGGCTTCATCACAATTCCAAATAAATGCAATGGAAAACATTCAGTCCGAGATGAGACCTGTGACCCACAGCCTTCAAAAATTCTTCACTTGAACTCCTTCAAGTCAACTGAATGTCTTCTTCTAAGCCTACTTCGCAAGGAGCCAAAGGGAAAGAAGGAGGAGTATGAAGCTTCCTGGAAGTCCTCTTCAGAAGAGTTGGCTGTTCAGACACAACGTGCAAGGAAATTGCAGCAGTGTGAGCTGACAAGTAAACGAGGCAGTGCTGGCATTCTCATAGGAGGAAGTTGTCAGAATCTTTCAGGTTTCAGGAATGAACAAGATCTGTCTCTAAATCTGAAGACGAGATGTTACTCTTTGGAAAGAATTGGAAACGCTGCCTCAAGAGTACATCATAAAGGAGAATCGGATTCCCTCGGGGAAGCTAATGTCTCGAGCACAAGAAATAAGGAGCACTGGCTGCCATGTGTGGCTAAGACTGAGTCTGTGTTGGAGTTTGGTTGTGAAAACGCATGCCAAAAACAAAGTGATGGCTCAAAGAGAGCGTCTGCCTCAATGCTTCAGGATAGAGAGCTATTTAAGGAAAATCTTAAATCAAAGCAAATATGCAGGTCTCAGAGTTTACTTGGGAGCAGGAACTCCAGAAGTTGCACCAGCATCAATGCCCCCGTTGCTGAAATCACAGTAAAGCCGAGGTCTCAATTCTGTGGGCAAAGAAGACCAAATACCTCAGCGGCTGCTTCAGTGGGCATCGGGACTGAGGTTCCTGATGTAACCATCAGTCAGAGGCTCTGCAGAAGTACCACAGCACTTTCAGAATGCTCTTTCGCTCACTCTTATGTGTTGACTGGCACGCAAAGTAAGATGGCTTTACAAGCATGTTGTATTGGCTTATTGTGTTGACTAACTAATCTCTGCTTCCTTACTATCTTCGAGACGGTTACTAGTGTTTTTTTGTATCTGTATAACATGAGGGTTTGAAAGAGTTGTGAAGTTGTAGCGTTTAAAACTATTTTCATAGCTCTGTTACCAAATGGTAGTGTTACCTTTGGCTTCTCAAATTGGATCTGCCAGAACCTTCCTGTCCAGGTAAGCAGTGATGCTTCTGACCTCAACGTCATCTGGAGGAGAACTCGCACAGATCTGCCCTTTGGAGACATCTTTTTAGAGCCTTTGAAACGTGCTTTCTGGGGATGCTCTCAGAAATAGCATTAGGTTATTACCTCAATTGTACTATGGCACTAATTGCACAAGCAGTTTATAACAATGAAGTGATCTGGGGACCCCCACGCACTAAAAACAACCACGTAACTGATCTACAGCGTCACAGCTGATTGATTGCTGTGAAAATGAAACACGGATCATGAAACAAACGCAGATTGTCTTCATTAGAGGGGGGAAGTTATTTTACTGAATAACAATCTGAGAAGTTTGTTCAGGTCTTCATGACATCTGTACTACGATCACCTTGTAGGTCTCCTTCAGCCTCACTTAGAAAGGATTGCTGTTGAGGCCCTGCAGATCTGCTGCTTGCTGCTTCCACCACCAAACCGCAGGAAGATGCAGCTCCTGGTGAGGATGATGGCTCGCATCAGTGAGAACGTGGACATGCCGCGGCTGCACGACGCCATGGGCACACGGTCCTTGGTGAGAGGAGTGAGACTGCTGTGTGTCTGTGTGCTGAAAACGCTGCTGGACGAGTGCTGAGGATACCAGCAGTAATCAGGACTTCAGCGTCGCTGGCTTGTAATTAAACAGTGGTTAATGGACAGATCTTTGATCTCTAAAGCATTTACAGAAATCTAACTTGAGGCAAGCGTTTCCTTGTCCCATACTAATATGTTGCAAATACTGATGTTGTTTTCCCTTCTTCTGGGAGAAGGGAAGGAACTCCTCAGAAAACCAAAGGGTGTGATTGTTCAGTCTGCTTTCTCAATCCGCTGTCATCTCAGATTAAAAACTGTTGGCAGCAGTGCTTGTGGATGACCTTTCTTGGGCTAAATATTTGTGTAGCTGAAGTTATGACATAATCCATTCCAGAGAGAAAGGAAGACTTTGCCTAGCGAGCTCATAGGCCAGCTTCTGGGTCTGAAAGTAAGCCTTTACTGGGGCGATTCAAGTTGTTAGTAATGCTTGTACCAAGTAAGATTAAAGAACATTATCTGCACATGCTACATAAAGCTACTGGAGGCAAGGAAACAAGGAAACTGTAAAAATGTTTTTAAAAGTTATTTCAAACTGATTGTTGATATTCACTACTTCTTGAACGCCTTTAGAGCCAGCCTAACCTGCCATCCCAGTGGCTCGAGACAGCTAATAGGATACATTTTTCAATTGGAGGGAAGACTTATTACCATCTTCAAAAGGCATTTCTTAAAAATATGACTGTAGGACTTGTACTCTTCTGTATTGAACAGTGTTTGGAGGGGGGGTTTCTTGTTTCCTCATCTGAAATAATCAGTTTTCCTCCTCTCTTGACCAGTCAGCATAGGCGAGAGAGACTGCAGTGAAAGCTGCCATTGGCGAATTTGTTGTGCCACTGTGTGGAATGGAGGGCAGATCCCTCAGCTGCTCATACTAACCATCTGCTACGTGCTTGTAGATGATACAGACTTTCTCTCGCTGTGTGTTGTGCTGTGCAGAAGAAGTGGATCTTGACGAGCTGCTTTCTACACGATTAGTTTCATTTCTCATGGACCATCAGCAGGAAATATTTAAAGTACCAACTTACCTGCAGGCTGCAGTGCAAGATCACATAGAACACATGAAGATGGCTCAGGTTGGTGGCATAGCAGAAAGCAAAGGTACTTAAACGTCTGCAGAGTATTTGTTACTTCTGTGGGGTGGATGAGAACTGCAGATAAAGCTACAGCATAATAAAAGCAAACTTGTATTAAGCTGTTGGTGCAATCATAGACATCAGCTACTTTATAATCCCTTGCAACTTGTGGCTGTAAGTCTATGTGCTTGGATGTTAAATATGGTAGTTTCTTACCAGAGCGGGACGTTGTTTGACTTTAGAAGCCCCTTTCTTTGGTTTTTATTTCAGTGCAAACATCCAGGGGAAGAAATCTGTGCCATATTACCAACCTATTCGTACTGTGAACAAATAACCCCTCAGGAGTTTGAAGAACAAAAGGTTTCTACTTCTCAAGCTGCTGTGGCAGAGCTGTTGGAGAACATCATCAAAGATAAGAACTTATCTGTGAAAGAGAAAAAGAAAAAGTTAAAGCAGGTGAGGAACTTAGTGGATATTTCAGCAATTCTGAAAATGCTTTGTGTGAAACAAGAGCTCAGTCATGAAATACTGCTATCAGAGCATGAGCAGACTATTGAGAAAGTGCCTGTTTTACAGGGAGCACTAAGTGCTGTTTAGTGGTTTTTTGGGCTGTATGGGATGACTCTATTTTAAGAACAATGTCTAAAATAGCATTTGAATCTGTCTAGCAACAGTGATGTTCAGCGATTCAAAGCAGCACAAAACTTTAAGATGCTCTTTATTAAATAAGATGTGTTACTGACTACACAGATGGTCATTAAAATGGTGTAAATGGACATAAAGAGGAGACAAATGGTGGCTTTTTTCTTCCCTTGAAAGGTCAAACTCAATCTATTCACAACTCTGAAGCATTCTTTTCTGTGGCATTAGCTTTGTTTTGTAACGTGTATGTTGCTCAAGATTATCTGGCATTTCTGTGGCCTACCAGCATGTTGCCTAATACTAAAGCTGCAGTGCAGCAGTTCTGGCAGGATTTAACACTGGAGTTTGTTTCTTTTTGAGAAAACCTTTGGCAAGTGTTTCTGACCAACTGAACAGTATTGTAGTATTGTACTTGTCCTAGAATCTCTTAAGCAAATCTCGTGACTCAAATTTGAAAAAGCAGCTTTCCAAAGCAAGCATGTTTGTTCTGATGCCCTTTCCACCACCAGCCTCTGCAGCAGGGACTCCCACATGTGTTCTGGGAGCTTCATTTTCCCAGGACTGAACTTGAGAAGCCTGGCCTGTTGTTCAAGTTCATGGGAACTTCCTGCATGTAAAGAAGAGTAGTTAATTACAGCTGACTTAAACCTCAACTTCTGAGTAAGCAAGCAGTAAGAAGTGATGCACAGCAGCACGTGGAGCAAGTGAAGCAGGAAGGAAATAAACTACAACAGTCTAATGTAAAACTTGAAGTATATGCTTACATTTCTGTGAGCTCCCACCAAAATCCAGAAGCAGCTTGTACTGCATGGGCCATGTATTAGCAGGGTTTGTCAAACTGTAGGAGAGCTGTCTTGAGGTCATGCTAGCTGTGCTGGGATAGTGAGCAGTGTGATCAATCTCATCTCTCTGCAATGATTATACAGTTCTGGTGCTTTGAATTAGGAGAAGCCAAATGCATGCTGCTTCCGAGGGGGTTACAGCCAGCTTACATCAACATCAAAATTACAAATGATGTGGTAATTTTCAGTAGGCTGTGAATTCTACTTAAGACTCCTAATCAAGGAAAGCAAAGGATAACCAGAATATCTCTAAAGCCAGAGATTTCTGTCCATCCCTGTCTCTGCAGGAACTGAAAAATAACTCCTCTGGTGAAGTAGTTATCTCTGAGAGAATGCCTGCAGAAATCTTTGCATCCTAACTTCTTTTTAGTAAAACATGCTCATCATTGTGGTTTTTTTCTTTGAAAGACACTTGTCCAAGCATAAGCCAAGTACATACCCATGCTGACAGCATGTCTTCAAATGGTGACCACTAAGTCTTACTTATAGGGTAAAAACTGGTCACGGTGTTCAGGATGAAATGGCTGGGGGCAGAGCTGTGTTCGCTTTTATTCAGTTGTTCAACAGCATTGCAAGCAGCTGCCGTTTCAAATGGAGATGAGGGCAGGCGGTCGCAGGTTGGAGATGGAGTGGCGTGGGTCTGTTGGAAGGGCTGTGCTGGTTACTGCAGCTGAGAACCACGTGGATCAAATGACTGCTCTCACTTCAACAGCAGATGAAGGGCTGACAGAACTTCTCATTCGTCGTTTATCAGTCGAGCTCAGGAGCGCAAAGGGCTGCAGCTTTGGTCGAGTGTCACAGCAGAGGTGTGACACAGCCTGATGCCTTGCCCTTCCTGCTGATGTATCTGTATGCAGTCATTCCTGCTTGTGTCCTGCATCGCTGGCTTGCATGTGTTTCTGTTGCCTTTCTTTGTCTGATTTAATGCTTTCTTGTGTACCTTCTAGTTCCAGAAGGAATATCCTCTGATATACCAGAACAGATTTCCAACCACAGAAAATGAAGCCGTGCTGTTTGAGAACAAACCTACCATCAAACAACCCATGCTGAGCCTAAGGAAACCCAAATTTCGCAGCCTGAGATATTAATGTCTGCTGCACGTTGCCTGGGGGTGTGCCTGACCAAGGGGAGCTTGCAATGGAAGGCAGTCTGCAGTGGCTGTGCACACAGAAGGAAGGAATGTTTACATGAACACTATGCTGAGAAGTGCCAAATAACTTGGGTTTTTTTGTTTCTTGGTTTTTTTTGGAAGTTACTTATATTTATTGTTTTCCTAGAAGTTATTTAACTGTTTACAAATTAATCGATATATTGTGCCAAGCAAAATAAGCGTGGAAATGAAGCTACTAATTACCAAAAATTTGTATATGGTTTTTATATGGGAAACTAATGATGTGCATATTGTAATGTCTGTAATGTTTATTCAGGAGCTGGTGCCATGAGTTATAGTTTGTGTGCACTCCTGATTGTTTGCTGGGTGTGAATAAGTGCCTGCCTTGTTTTGTTTAAAGACAAACATTTTGAGAAAGCAAAGTTCAGTTTGGAACTAAATTAAAACTTGTTTTTGTTATTTCTAAGGGGGCCAGAAATTCACCAGAAAGGGATTATCTGGCTCCTTGAAATTCTTGTTTCCTCTCATCCGAAACAGTTCTTAAAATATTTATTTATATTAAAGCATTCTGTGTATTTCTGCTGTTTCCCTGAATGCGTATTTTGGGTGTAATGAGACCCTTCTCAAACAGCACTGGGTGACAGCAGATGGGACAGTGAACAGAATCCTGATGCACTGAGCTTCCCTGTTTTGTTCCCAGAAGTAAGCAGTGGATCTGTGTCAGTGCTTCTGTGAGAGAGCAGCTTAAAGTGTTTCCATAATAAGGTTCCTACTTAGCATTTGTATTTATACATTTATATGTGTATATACACACACATACTTTAGTGTTATTCATAAGGCTCTCAGCTCAAGATTGTCACTTCTCCATTGTACATCATTCCTATGTGGTTTTGCCCTTTGGGTGTTCCTGGCTTAGAGTGTTCACCCTTAATTTCAGCCAGTACTGCTCCCACTTCACTGTCCTGTGGTACCCCGGTGTTCACACAGCTGCTGGGCAAACCATTTCTAATGCCTGTGCACAGCTAAGCATCCTGCACCTGCAGAAACTTGCTTCTGCTCCTTGGACTGTTGGGTGTTTCATAAATGCATTAGTTGTGTTCTAATTAAGCAACTTATTAGGCTCACGTTTCTCAGGACTTGCCTTTCAGCAGCTTGCCCTCGTTGCTCGGTCCTTGATCCACGTTATTTAATGTCATTTAATTATTTAATGTTCCCTTCTGAGCTTTTAACAAACTTAAGAAAAACTTAAATAATAAACAGAAGCTGACCAGCAGTGGGAAGTTTCCACAGATGGAAATAGCTAAGAAGGGCTTACACTAAAAATTAATCATTTTGCCTCCAGTGAGCTTTTAACCACTCTTTCCTTTTGCATATCTGTAATTCTGTTTGGGGAGCAGCTCATCAGGCACGAAATGGCAGGCTGTAACCTGTCAATGAGGTGTAAAAGGATGATCTGTTGCTTGGAGCATAGCTTTGCTCTAAGAGCAGTGATAGGAGGAAGGATTCATGGTTGCCTTCCATTCACTGGGGAAGAGAAAATGTTTTGGTGTGGCTGTACTGGCACAAACACTGCGAGTGAGGGCTCAGTGCTGCACAGCTGAGCAAAGGTTTGGTTCTGCTTTGCTCCCCTTTGCTCTGAGAGGGGAGGCTGGTGCGAGCAAAGGGCTCAGGGCTGCTTCTCAGGTTCCACTCCACACTTAGAAAAGTCCACGTGTTCCTGTATCCGCACTGTGGCTTTTTAATTTGCTTTCATGTGAGAATTAAACTCCTATAAGCGTGTTTAGCCTGCTTTTTTTTAAAGCCCTCGACTGGGTTTGAGTGTCGTGGTGCGTTTGGAGAAGATTTATTTGAAAAACACGTTAAGTTGTGGCTTCCAACAAGGGTTAGATCTCATGGATAGCTTGGGATGGGTATTTGGAGATGCTTTTTCTCCAAAGAGTGCTCAGCACTGCACGACTGCCTGGGGTGGAGGTCAGCATCCTGGGGGCGTCCCAGAGCTGTGGGGGTGGCACTGGGGGTGGCTGGGGAGCTTGCAGAGCTTTTCCAACCTCAGTGATTCTGTGGTTGTAGGAGAGAGGAGCCAGCAGTGTCTGGTGATGCTGGCAGTGACGCCTCTCCCCTGCCATCACTGGTGTCACCTGGTTTCTCAGCACGGCGCAGGATGGGGACTCGGTGACTGCAGCGCAGAGCTGAGATGAAGTGCAGCTCCAGTTCCTCTTTTTCATTGTTGTTTTTTTTTTCTTTGTAATCTCTTCTGCTCGGGAAGAATTTAGGTCTCTGAAAAAACCCTCAAAGCTGCTTTTTGTGCGAACAGCAAGACAAAGCCCCGCAAGGCATCGGGAGGATTTTGGCCTGAAAGCCACCTCTGTTCCAGCACTGAGCCCGTTGGCTGCACGCAGCTCCCAGCACTCCTTCCTGCACACCCATAAAAACCCCCATGTGGCTCCAGGAGCCTCAAATCCTGCAGCGAGACAATGTACAGCCAGTGAGTGCTGCCGGGGCTCCTTACGTGGGCTGGGGGGTTGTTGCTCCTTGGGGCGGAGAGGTTGGGATCGTGTGGGGTTTGGGGGCACCGAGGTGCTGGTCCGTGTTGGAGGCAAGGACCAAGTGCCATGCAAACTGTGTGCTTTGCTATAGGTAGGAATTGGAGCTTAGCAAATAATTTTCAGCTGTGTACTGCAAAACACTTTGCTTAAAAATGTTAGGAATTATTCAAGGCTTGAGAGAGGTAAGGTGGATGTTTGTTACTGAAAGGTGTCCTGCTTCCTGCCTCAAATGTCCTCGGTTTGTCCCTTGTGCCTGCAATAGACCACTTGTATGATGAGCTGCCTGCTGTCCTGCTGCTGGTTCCCCCTCTGTACCCCCAAGACCTCCTCTGTTGTTTCTCCCTGTTCTCCTCATTGGTTTTTGCAAGCGACAGCTTTGTCCTCCCAGCACCACTCGGAAGCTGCAAACAAGGGTCTGGTGTCCCTTGCAGGGTGGAGCATCCCGCAGGAGGCTACAAGAAGCTCTTTGAGACAGTGGAGGAGCTGTCCTCCCCCGTCACTGCCCACGTCACAGGTTTGTGTGCCCTCACCACCTCCTGCCCTGGGAGCCCCATGCTGTTCTTGGTCAGGTCTGGGGGACTCGCAGGTCCTGGGACACAGGTATAAATGAGATCAAGGAAGTTCACACATTTGGGACGTGGCTGAGTTGATGTGCTGGGAGCAGAGGAAGGACAGAGCAGTTGAGTGATCTTTGGCTTCCAAGGATCCCTGTTGTATGGCTCTGTGGGGTAAGAAGAAACCATAGTCCTAAAGGCTCATCAGGGGCTTCTCTCTGGAGGACAGAAGGCTCAAGGGAGACCTCATTGCTCCTCACAGCTCCCGGCAGGAGGTTGGGGTGAGAGGGGATCAGCCTCTGCTCCCAGGGAGCAGCAATGGGATGAGAGGAGACGGCTCACGCTGTGCAGGGCAGGGCAGGCTGGGTGCTGGGGGACATCTCTGCTCCAAAGAGCGCTCAGCACCGCACAGCCGCCCAGGGGTGGGGGGTCAGCATCCCTGGGGGTGTTCAGAGCTGTGGGGAGGTGGCACTGAGGGACGTGGGCAGTAGTTGGGCTTAGGGTTCTTAGAGGGCTTTTCCAACCTGAATGATTCTGAGATTCCACAAAAGCATCCATGATCTCGTCCTTAAATAATAACAACTTTTAAAATTGAATAAACACAGGATAAAAAAAATAGAAGACAAAATATTTTGACTATTCTTCTACATCTGCTGCAGGCAGGATTCCCACCTGGCTCAGGGGCAGCCTCCTGCGATGCGGGCCTGGCCTCTTTGAGGTCGGGGCAGAGCCATTTTACCACCTCTTCGATGGCCAGGCACTGCTGCACAAGTTTGACTTCAAGGAGGGACACGTCACCTACCACCGCAGGTGTGGGACGCAGCCAAGGACTGCTGTTCTTCTGGGGTCTGTGCTCACTGGAGGAGCTCCAGCAGGGAGCTGTGCCCAAGTGAGGCACTGGGGCAGAAAAGTGGGGGTGCCCCGTCCCCAGAGGTGCCGAGGCCAGGCTGGATGGAATCTTGAGCTGCCCATGGCACAGGGTTGGAACTGGACAGGATGGAAGGTCCTTCTAACCCAGCCATTCTACAGTTCTGTCAACAACAGCACATGGCAAAAAATGCAGCCTTTTTACAGTTTGGAAATGTTCTGTGAAGATGAGGGCAGCAGGGGCTGCCTGCAGCTGCACTGACACCGTGCTCCTGGGGGTTGCAGCTGCCCTCCATGTCCAGGGCTCCAGCACTTCACATGCTGCAACACAACCCTGGTCACTGCCAGGGGCTGGACTGAGCTCTCATGAGCCTCATCACAAAAAGTATTTGTGTTTATTTTAATTGAATTGCCTTGCTTTTTGCCTTGGTGTGACTGCCTGTAATGTGCTTCACCTCCTTAGGTTTGTTAGGACAGATGCTTATGTGCGAGCCATGACAGAGAAGAGGATCGTGATAACTGAATTTGGTACCTATGCCTACCCAGACCCGTGCAAGAACATTTTCTCCAGGTATCGAGGCTCTGCCAAGCACTGCAGCTTCGTGCCACGGGGCCTCTGCTGACCCTGCTGCCTTCCTCCACACAGGTTTTTCTCCTACTTTAAAGGGGTGGAGGTCACAGATAATGCCCTCGTTAATGTCTACCCCGTTGGCGAGGACTACTACGCCTGTACAGAGACCAACTTTATCACCAAAATTAACCCAGACACTCTAGAGACAATTAAGCAGGTAGGTTTTGGCCATCAGCTCCCAACACAGGGCAGCCTCACCTCTCTTCCCACATCGCTCACCCTCATCCCAGACAGACAATGCCTCCCCACGCTCCGTCCCCAGGTGGATCTCTGCAAATACGTCTCTGTCAATGGGGCCACAGCTCACCCCCACGTGGAGAACGATGGCACCGTTTACAACATTGGCAATTGCTTTGGGAAAAATTTCTCACTGGCCTACAACATCATACGGATTCCTCCACTCCAAGCAGGTCAGTTCAACACACCTCCAAACGAGCTCGTGAAAATCTTGTTCTATAAATTACTTCTTATTACTCAAATGCATTTTGTCATCAGATTTCTTCGTTTGGCCTTCCTTCTTTTTTTCAGCAGTAGAAATGTTATCTTTAACACAGTTATTTACGTGATGCTAGACGATGAGTGTGCAACCTTTTGGCCTGCATGGGCCAAACTGAGCAAAGAGGAACTGTCGTGGGCCACATATAAATCATAAGATAGTTAATGTATGTAAATAACAAAACTTTTTTCTTTCTATTAAAGCATTAAAAGAAAAGAAGACACCAAAACCATAAAACTAGCAAGCTGGATACATGCCCTAGCTCACAAGCTTCCTTTGTGCTAGAGGCAGAGGCCTTGCAGGGCAAGCACTGCTAATGCAGGCAGCGTGTGGCTGGAAGCTCTCCTGTAACCATGTGGCTGTCCTTTGCAGACAAGGAGGACCCGATGAACAAATCAGAGGTGGTGGTGCAGTTCCCTTGCAGTGACAGATTTAAGCCCTCCTACGTGCACAGGTAACTCCTGCCAGGCTCAGCTGGCTGACTGCAGACTCACTGCGCTCTGGTTCCTTGTTGCATGCAGCATGCTCACCGTTTCAAACCAGCTGCTTTGGCAAATGAGTCTTCCCTGACAGAGCTCCCTTCTAGAAGTGGCAGCAGGACTTGGTTTTGCTTGTAATGAGCAACAACAGCAAGAGCTGGTACCGACGTCGGGGTGCCTGCATGGCTGTAGCATTAAGCTCCGTACTGCGTCCCGTGCTGCACTGTGCTCCACGTGCTCTGTGTGTGTTCCCACAGCTTTGGCCTGACCCCAAATTACATCGTATTTGTCGAAACCCCGGTGAAGATCAACCTCCTCAAGTTCCTCTCCTCCTGGAGCCTCTGGGGAGCCAACTACATGGACTGCTTTGAGTCCAACGAGACCATGGGGGTAAGTCCAACGAGACCATGGGTCACATAGGGCCTGTGCCCACCACACCATGCCCACTCACCAGTGAGACTGACCTGCTGCTTGCCTTTCAGGTCTGGCTTCACGTGGCAGAGAAAAAGAAAGGACGGCTCCTCAACATCAAGTACCGGACCTCAGCCTTCAACCTCTTCCATCACATCAACACCTTCGAGGATAACGGGTTCCTCATTGTCGACCTCTGCACGTGGAAGGGGTGGGTGCCAACACTGCCTTCATAGAATCACTCCTCTGAGACCCCCAGCCTGCCCCCATGCCCACTGCCCACGTCCCTCAGTACCACATCGCCACGGTTCTGGACATCCCCTGGGCAGCGTGTGCCAATGCTTCCATATCAAGGCCCCACATCAAGATGGAAACGGCTCATCTGGTCTGGCCCTGTGACTTTCAGTGGATCAGAACAGGGCTCGTGTCTCTTAATTGAATTCTAGGGGAAAAAAATAGCTGTTTTGGAACTCGTTCCTGGCAATGACTTCTTTGCTGTCTCTGATCCCATTTCTGTGCAGATTTGAGTTTGTTTACAATTACCTCTACTTAGCCAACCTCCGAGCAAACTGGGATGAGGTAAAGAAGCAGGCAGAGAAAGCCCCCCAGCCCGAAGCCCGCAGATACGTGCTGCCCCTCCGCATCGACAAGGTACTGCCCAGCCCTGCCACCAGCACTGCTGTCTGCACAGCTCCTGCACTCTGTGGCCAAGTACTCCCAGTGCTTTTCCTGGTCAGGCTTAATTCAAACTTTTCCTTCCCATTACAACGTTTACCCCTTAGAGCAGCAGTCAGCTTGGTGCAGAGCTGTGTGATTTCCAGCTCCCCCTGCTGTGGTCCCCCTCCTCACTGGATGAGTCTATCTGAGCTGTATTCTCGCACTGCTGCTCAAGCAAACCATGCAGACCATAACAAGCCTCCAACTGTCCTGTCGAGGGGGAAAAGTTACATGTGTGTTCACCTAATAAGCATGCTGAGAGCAGAAATACAGGCTGGATTTAGCCTGATTGATAGGCATTCTTATTACACTAAAAGCTGACTAAGAAAACAAAAGAATCAACCATTCCTGCGCATGTTTCTATTCTGCAGCTTCACGAGGCTTTGCTGCACATCGCTAGCTTCCATGCAGGTACACTCAGAACTTTGTTTCTCCATTTGTCTTGGGTGTTGTTCTTTGTCCCAGGCCGACACAGGCAAGAACCTGGTCACCCTGCCCTACACGACAGCCACTGCGACGCTGCGCAGCGATGAGACCATCTGGCTGGAGCCAGAAGTTATTTTCTCAGGGCCACGCCATGGTAAGATGACAGCTCTGAGCCACAGAGCAGCACAGGTCCCATCAGCCATCCATGTCCTGCTAATCCTCATGCATATACTTATTTTTGCAGCCTTTGAGTTTCCACAGATCAATTACAAGAAATATGGTGGGAAACCATATACGTACACATATGGGCTTGGACTGAATCACTTTGTTCCAGACAGGGTAACTATCAGGGAAGGGGTGAGGCACATCTTTTTGGTGAGCTTTTGCTTAATGGCAAGTTAGGGCGTTTTTGAGATGTGGTTTTATTTTCTCCACTTAGCTTTGCAAGCTGAATGTTAAAACAAAGGAGACCTGGGTGTGGCAGGAGCCAGATTCGTACCCATCAGAGCCAATCTTCGTTTCCCATCCAGATGCTCTGGAGGAGGATGATGGTAAGCAATGATTTTTGCCTTGTTAACTGGAGTTGATTGCAGTCTGTGTCCACTGGCCCCAGGTGTGCTGGTGCTCAGACCTACTTCCATGGTGCACCAGGGGCATGCAGGAGCCAGGGGACCTGCAGGCTGCTCCTGGGTGAGATGTGCCCTGCTCTAACGCTGCAGGAGAGTTTCTGAGAGCATGGAAAAATCAGAATTGAATGAAAACATAGGAAAAAATCTGTAGGTTCAGATCATCTGTTCTCATTTCCCAGCCTTTTTCCATCAGGAACCACACTACTAAAAGAATTCCAGATGGCCAAGCTTTGTGAAATTTAACCTGTGTTAAACCAAGGATGTTTTTACTTCTAAAGCCCTCCTCCCTGTGTAGAAGGGGGACAAATTCAGGCTTTGGATGTGGAGGACACAGAGCTGCGTTCATGCCAAGCACTGCACACATTCATTCACACACTGCCAGCCCTGTACCTACTTCTGAAGGTGGCAGCACTAGGTTTAAATCTATTCATTCCCCGAATTCCTCATCCCTGAGCAGGAATATTGAAGCCAGGAGAGCCCTTGGCTGTGCTGAGTGCCTGTGTTTGTCACCTCCCAGGGGTGGTGCTGAGCATTGTGATCAGCCCCGGCTCAGGGCCAAAGCCTGCCTACCTCCTGATCCTGAACGCCAAGGACATGAGCGAAGTGGCCAGGGCTGAAGTGGAGGTGAACATCCCTGTGACTTTCCATGGACTCTTCAAAAGAGCGTGAGTGCTGCCTGCAACACGCCGTGTGAGGCTTCTTCCAGCTTCAAAAAGATGCAGTCTCCATTTGCAAGCACACAGAAAGTGACACTGAAGGAATTTAGGACATTTATTTGTGAGTACTTGGTTCACAGAACTATGGAATGGCTTCGGTTGGAAGGGACATTACAGCCCTTCCAGTTCCAAACCCCTGCCTCAGGTACCCACAGGTGCCTCACTGCCCTAATTGAGACTGAACATTTCAGTTTGGTTGCTTATTTCTCAGAATACTCACCCAGACATTTCTCAAATGTACTCCACGGCCTAATTTCAAGATGTACAATGCAATACAATAAACCACATGGTTTCTTTTACAAAATTAAATGTTGTAGATGCAACAGAGAGAAAGATGCAGGAAATAGCACAGTGCAACCTCAGTGCCTCTACACATGGTAACATGTAGAAGACAGTGTGCTGTTGCATCCTTTGAGAAGAGGTAATTTTTATCCTATGGGGGTGTTTTGGATTGAACTCACCTCCTGGTCACTGCACCAGCATCCTCAGAGCAAGCTGAGGGGAGCCTTTCCACGGTGCTCTGGCAATCTCACTTTGCAGGCAGCATGCTGTGCTTTGCTAAATCTTACAGGCATTACTCTCGTCTAGTTTTCAGCCACGTGTGTCCTCTCTTTCTCATTTCTTTGCTCAAAGTGCTGTTTGAGTTCTGCATATTCTTAATATGAAAAAAAATAAAAACAAAAAAATCAAGCAATCGTTACAGCTTAGGGTGAATTTGCTTTGTTAGAGTGCTACAGAATCAAAACTTAATCCCTTCTTTCCACAAAATGACTGTGTAGTACTAACAGACTATGTCCCAAAATACAAACTTCTTTGTAAACAGACTTGGAATCCAGGATTGTTTGTTTGCAGTGGTTTAATGTTTTTATTCATGGTATCAAAGAATTAGAAAATCATTTACATTAAAGCTTTCCAATATAAGGTGCTATCTTCAAAGGGTGATTACTTGAGGAGGGCTGCATTTACATTCTCATCACAGGATACTGGTAAGGAGGTGGCACCTGGTACTTCTGCTGCTCTATGATCTGCAAGCACTGTGCAATTACCTGATTAAAACAAAAAAGCAACCACAAACAAGATAAGCAATGAGCCTCTGAAACAGAAGTCAGGAAAGGTTACCAGTTAAGCAGTTATTCAATAATACATCTGTTCTTATTTCTGCAAATCAGTGTGCATTTAAAATGTACAGCTGCAGTTTGCAGAAACAGACAGCAGTGTGATGTGACACTGGGTCAGGAAATGCAAAGAGAAAAGATGCCTGAACGTTTCTTTTAGTTATTTCATAGCTACATGCCTAAGATTTCCAATATCAAGATGTTCTGCTCTTCTCTTTAAGTGTCCATCTTCTAATAGGTGATATTTCTTGGTGCCTCGTGAGAACAGGGAAAGAATACACAGAACTGGTTTTGGGCTTTGAACAAAATCTCGGAGCAGTTTAACTTTTACCTCCTGGCTTTGCCAAAATCTTTTCTCTGGAAAAGCTTTTTGCTGAAAATTTCAGAGTTGGGATAAGGATTCTCTCAATTTCAGTGTGTGTGCATTTGACTGCTGGCACAGCAGCACGCGTTGTCCTGAAAAAATTATTGTTTTTTAAAGGCATGCTAAATCCAGGCACGTGCTGTCAGTTCAGACAAAGCTACACTGAACCTCCATCTAGGAGCAAGAGCCAGGATAAAATAGCAAAACCACAGTGTTAAATAAATGACTGAACAACTAAATATGTGAACGTGAATTGTGGTGTGCTGGTGAAACCTGTACTGCCTGAAGAGAATCACAGCAACTCAGTCCAACTGCCACACTTTTCTTCACTCAAGTGGTTCCCAGAGAAAGGCAGGGTCTCAAGCACTAGAAAACGCTTCTCAGGCCAATCCCATTATCAAAGTCCCTATATACACTCCAGAAAATACTGAACATGGGTTGCACCATAAATATGTGCCCTAGTTAGAAATATGAATTGGTATCAGGGTGTATTTGTGATCGTTTGGGGTTGGTTTTTGTTTTGTTTTGTTTTTTAAAGAAAGCCTTCAGAAGTGCAAAAAACACCTCCACACTGCTAACAAACAGTGCAACACTGCAAAACAGCAGTGGTGGCTTTTAGAAAGAACATCTTGGAGAAGGTGCCTACCAACTGAGAAAACATCCTGTAACAAAAGAACAAAAACAATGCAGTGAAGAGGAAACTTAAGAGTGCAAACATGGGTCATGTGCAAGACCATAAAAAGGAAGGAGTGGGAGACTGAACCAAACTGGAAAGTCAGTTGAGATTCACTGAGGAAATCCTGTAGTCAGAATGCACCCAGAGTTCAACAGAAAATGTTTAGAAGAACAAATAGGTCTATATCTTCAGATAGGGTAGAGAACAGATGAGAATCCAAAGCTAAATACCAGGAAAAGCAGAGTAAGAACTCAGAGACCTGGTTCTGGAAATCAGCACGCCAGCTGACCGCAAGTGAACGAACCAGAGGCTTGCACACTCATCACAAGGTGAGATCTGGGGATGAAAATGTATTACAGAACATACACTGGGAAAAAAAACAAAGCCAGCTACCTTCCTGGTATCCTGGGGGAGAACTACACCATCATCCCAGAGTCTGGCAGAAGAGTAAAACGCACTGCTCTCTTCCTCAAGCCTGGAGAAGAGAGAACATGAAACACGCTTAGAAGCAGAAAAGTTTAACCAAAAAAGCAGCAGGCTGGTAAAACAAAGCTGAAGATAACAAAGGCATACGTTTCTATTTCAAGTGAACGTGCTGTTCTAGTGTTAAAATCCACTAGGATCCAGCAAATACATAACAGATCCGATCCTTCTGTAGCTCAAAGATGATCCTCTGCATTCAGAAGATCACTACAGGTTAATTCACAGCACTGACTTGTTTTGTGATTGCAGGATTTTCTAAGTAAAAGTTTTGCATTTCTCTGGCAAGATCCTAAGAGTACACATGGAATTATACAGAATTCTAAAATAGTTTTCATCAAATCCAGGTTTGTTTCAGTTGTTTGGGATGTGTTGACCTGAAATATGAGCATAGGTAGGTATAAATGTCAGCATAACTGCAGGATTTTACTGCTTAATGTCCTTACTTTTGTTTCAAACGTTTTAGCTCAGATTCATCTGTACAATCGCTGTCTTCAGCTTGTGGGACCATGGACAAATGCCTTGAATCCACAAGAGCAACTCTTGCATTAGGCCATAAGAACAGAAAGTTTGGACTGAACGATCTCCCACACTGCAAAAATAAAACAGTAAAAAAAATACAGTAGAAATTCACTGAATTTAATCACAAAAAAACAAAAAAAAAAAAAAAAAAAAAAGGGCCTACAGTGCCACTATCAAGTTAGAGACAAAATGTAACAGTTACATTTCTAAAGCAATAGGGATGCAGATCCTTTCCCATTACAGCTCCAGATCACAGAACGCTAGAATCCTTAGAGCTGGAAGGGACCTCTGAGGGCCATCAAGTCCAACTGCCCTGCAGTGCACAGGCACACCACAGCTGGGTCAGGATGCCCAGGGCCTGATCCAGCCTGGCCTTGAAAGCCTTCCAGGAACAGGGCATTAATCACATCTCTGGCAGCCTGTTCCAGTGCCTCACCGCCTCACTGAAAAAGATTTTTTCCTTATATCTAACCTAAATCCAACCTCCCTGAGCCTGAAGCCATTTCCCCTTGTCCCGTCGCCACAGACCCCACCATCAGTTTGTCCCCTCCTTTCCTGTAGCTCCCCTTTAGATACTGACAGGCCACCATCAGGTCACCTCACAGCCTTCTCTTCTCCAGATCCCCTGCAGAAGTAACCACCACATCCCACTGCTTTCAATACTGGTGTTTATTTCACCCCGTCTAATCCCAAGTGAGCAAAGAGCCCAGTGCACCTCCTAGCGGCGTGAGTAGCACACACAGCAACACAACTGAAAAAGATGCAGCCCTCGACCCCTGAAAACAGGCGTGTGCAGAGCAAACAGCAGTGCTGAATCCTCAGTACTGACATTTTCAGACAATCTGACTTTCAGAACCCGCTCCAGGTCCATTGCAGATCAAATCTGCTGTAATCACGCCTTGTGCCGCAGTTCTTATTTACAATTAATTAGGATCGCCAATCAAGTTAAATGTCTGCACAGCAGCTGACAACGCTGAAAAGATGAAAGCGCCACGAGTGCTGGGCAAAGCGTTAAGTCGAGTGCCAACCCCCCTGAGCTCTGTGCCATCCTTACCATCGCATAACTTTCGCTCCCAAAACAGCCACCAATCACTATGGTGATTTTGGGAACAGCTGCACAAGCGACAGCAGCCATCATGGAGGCCTGGGCTTTCAACCTGTTGGCCTGAGCCTCTGCCTGAAATGAAAAGAAGCATTTTAGTGCTGCGCTTTTTTAGATTCCTTCCACTTCCCCCAAACTTGCAACCCACTTCTAAAACAATTCTTTCTTCATGATGCCATGTGATCGTTTCTTCCAAAACAGCAAGGTGGGATCAATGAGCTAACCACCAGGACCCACAGTGCTACTTATTTTACAGTGTAAATCAGCAGAACTGTTACAACCAGTGTGCAGAAACCTGCGATACAGAGCAACTCGGGGTCTCCCAGGCATCAGCAGAGCTCAGATACAACAGAATTGCAGCAGGCTTTGTTTTAAGTGCTGGTGACAGCCGGGGGAATGGAGCTGCAAAAGTCTCTTAACATAGGCTCTACAAGGAGGCTTTCCAAAGCCCAGGACACAGCATGCTGTACTTCAATGCCTTCACTTTAGAAAAGGGAAATATTTATTTTTTGTGGATCACAGTGGTAGCAGAAGAACCAACAGGCTCAAGAACAAACCATCACAAAGGGAAGAGCACCACAAATTCTGAATGTCACAGCCTGCACTACCAGCCTGGCTGCAGGCCTGCATAAAGGCCTGCCTAAAATCAAAATGAAGCGAGAAAGCAAAGGGAAGATTTAAGAAAGTTAATTATGAAACTTCTTGATTTGACCACCAAAAGTGGATTAAAAATTAGTTTTCCTAGTAATTAATAGTTTTCAAAATGCGTGTTAGTTAAAACAAGAGCCAGGTATTGCCTGAATGAAGCAGGGCAGATT